ACGGCGTAGTGTCGGAGATGCGACAGAGCGGGTCGAGAGTTCCAGCGTTTAAGATAAGACCATCGATCCCATGATAATGAGAGACACCGAGAGCGATTGCATTAGATAGAGCTTTCTCATCAGAACTAATCCAGATGAAGTTGTGTTGGTGAGAGACAAGGTTGAGAGTATCAAAGAATAAGTAGCGACTAACATATCGCACTCGACAGTGAAAAGAGAATCGCAGTTTAATTGAAATAGTTCCGAAGTCCGAGAACGGGAAATGGCAATGACATTGGCATTGAATTCACGTAAAAGAAAACGAGTAACTGCAAGACCTATTCCTCTATAATTTATCTTTTTAAATATGAATATAAATTATAGAAAAATAAAAGTTTGCGTACTTTGAAGCACCTGTAACAAGAATGACTGGCTTTATCATGATAGTCAGCTGTGAATGAGATAGTTTGTTAGGTTTGTGGATATATTTGGTAAGCTTATTGATTTGTAAGTTGACAGGGGTAACCAAAAAAGGAAACCCCAATGCAATGAAATGACCTGGCGCAAAATTCTGTGACCACCTCCACTCTCTTTCAACCTCCAAAAAAAACTATCATGGTTTCCCGTCTCGCCCTCTCCCGTCTTGCTCCCATTCTTAATGTCGCCCGCTCTTCAGCTTCTACTACTGTGAGAAGGAATATTCGTCCTGTTCGCAGCTATGCTACCTCATCAGAAGCTGAACAGCACTCCGTAAGTCGCGTCATAACTCCAATATCAACTTTATTTCAGTCAAATAACTTTTTTTCTTCTCTCTCTCCCTGTCTGTGCTTCACGTTTAGATGACTGTTCGTGATGCTCTCAATGTTGCTATGGAGGAAGAAATGCTCCGTGACGAGACCGTCTTCATCCTCGGTGAGGAAGTTGCACGATACAACGGTGCATACAAGGTATTTTTATTTTAAGAATTTCGCTACAACTCGGCCTCACCTCGATCACTTTCAGGTCACCAAGGGCCTTATGGACAAATTCGGTGAAAGGCGAGTCGTGGACACACCTATCACTGAGATGGGTTTCGCTGGTATTGCTGTCGGCGCTGCCCTCCAGGGTCTACGGCCCATGTACGTTTTGAATTTTGAGCCTATCAGAAAACTATGTTGACTTCGGCACTAGTTGCGAGTTCATGACGTTTAACTTTGCCATGCAGGCTATTGATCAAATCGTCAACTCGGCCGGTAAAACCTATTACATGTCAGGTGGCAATGTTCCTTGTCCAGTTGTTTTCCGCGGACCCAATGGTGCTGCTGCGGGTGTCGGTGCACAGCACTCACAAGATTACGCCGCTTGGTATGGCTCAGTGCCAGGTTTGAAGGTTGTTAGCCCCTGGAGTGCTGAGGATTGCAAGGGTCTCCTCAAGGTATCCCCATCCCCGATTTATTGTTTAACTTGCCTTATCGAACTTTTTTTATAATAATAGTCTGCTATTCGGGATCCTAACCCTGTCGTCTTCCTGGAGAATGAGATGATGTACGGTGTCTCCTTCCCCATGTCGGCAGAGGCCATGTCCGATAACTTCCTCCTCCCCATTGGCAAATGCAAGGTCGAGCGGCAAGGAACGGATGTCACATTAGTTGGCCACAGTAAAATGGTTGGACATTGTATGGAGGCTGCTGAGGCTCTTGCCAAAGAGGGTATTAAGGCCGAAGTCATCAACCTGAGGAGTATCCGCCCTCTTGACATCGACACCATTATCAAGTCGGTCAAGAAGACCAACAGACTCGTCATCGTTGAAGGTGGATGGCCCGGTTTCGGTGTTGGAAGCGAAATCTGTGCGCAAATTGTTGAGAGCGAGGCGTTCGATTACCTCGATGCTCCCGTTGAGCGAGTCACTGGTGCCGACGTCCCTACTCCTGTGTGTTATTGTCCTGTCCTATGATTTTGCGATTGTTGCTGACAGTCTTTTTAGTACGCCACCGTTCTGGAGAATCTCTCATTCCCAGATACCCCTTTGATCGTCAAGGTCGCAAAACGCGCACTTTACCGCACAAACTGATCTGTTTTCCAGACGTCGACTTTTCGGGCTGGAGCGTTTGATGACCATTGTCTAGATATTTCTTTATACTCTCTATAGAGTCACTCACATCCATTGGTAGTACCTCTTTAATAAATCCCCAATATACCAGCACCTAGATTTCGATTCTTACTTCAGACCAACTCTTAAGTTCCCGATTCCATCAGACGCAGGCGGATGCGGACTGCGTTAGCGTGCGCTTGAAGACCTTCACAATCGGCTAACGTTGCGACGACTGGGCCAAGATTACCGAGTCCAGATGAAGAGATCTCCTGTGATGTTATATGTTTCTGGAAAGACTGCGTGTTTACCCCACTGAACTGCCTTGCATAACCGTTGGTTGGAAGCGTGTGGTTCGTGCCAGAGGCATAATCGCCGCAGCTAAAAATCAAGTTCGATTCGTGATGCAGAAATCGTTGAACAAGCGTGCTTACCTCTCTGGGGTGTATGGACCAACGAAGATACTGCCGGCGTTGTCAATCAAGGGGACCTTCTGGCTTGCATTCTCGAGATGCAAAATTAGATGCTCGGGCGCGTAATCGTTGGAGAATCGTATGGCCTCCTCGACAGATGAAGTTGTCACGATGATACTCTTCCTGATGGATTGTCGGACGATATCAACTCGGGCAAGAGCGCGTGCCTGTTCATCAACCTCTTTTTCGATCGATTCCAAATGGTCTGGTGTGATATTGACAGTGACAAGAACGACTTGAGAGTCTACCCCATGCTCTGCTTGAGACAACAAGTCGGAAGCCACAAACGCAGGATTAGCGGTATGATCCGCGATGACCTGAAAAAAGGTCGGCAAGCCACCTTTGGATCTCGATTGTATGACGTACCAAGACTTCTGAAGGACCAGCAGGCATGTCAATAGAAACAAGGGCGTCAGTGTCATTTTGAACGAGCATTTTGGCAGCAGTAACCCATTGGTTTCCGGGGCCAAATATTTTATCGACCTTGGGTACGGTCTTGGTTCCATATGCTAATGCAGCAACGGCCTGGGCGCCTCCTGCCTTGAGAATTGCCGATGCGCCGACGAGATGGGCAACATACATGACCTCGGGCGAGATACTGCCGTCGGGTCGGGGTGGTGTAGCCAAAACAATCTCCTTGCAACCAGCCACCTGAGCAGGGATGCCGAGCATAAGCGCCGTAGATGGCAGAATCGCTGTTCCTCCGGGCACGTACAAACCCACGCGGGCAATAGGACGGGCGAAACGGGAGCACACAACACCAGGCATGGTCTCAACAACAAGAGTTCCGTTATCGGCTTGAGCTTCATGGAACTTGCGAATATTGCTGTATGCGACGTCGATCGCTTTGCGAACTCCGTCATCGATTTGCATGCTCTCGGGCGTAAAAGGTGGGAAGACAACAGTAGAAGACAGCTTGGCCTTGTCGAACTTGGCAGTGAATTCGAGTAGGGCATCATCCCCCCTCGATTGGACGGCCTGAACGATAGGCTTGACCTTTTCAATCATTTCATCGGACTTGAGAACGGGACGACGAAGTAGCTGAATGCGTTCTTCAGTCGACGTCTTAGAAAGATCGGACATACGCATGCGAATCGGTGCATCATCAGACGCGGGCTCCTGAGTGGATGGTGGTGGTGGTGGCTGTGATGCAGCAGGCTCTTTGGACCATTGAGGCTTCGCGTTTCCGGGCCGCCTAGTAATCTTTCTGGCTTTGCGATCGAGCGAACGTTCGATGTCAGAGATGGTGACGCCAGACGCGAGACACTTGGTGAGGGCGAAGTACAGGAGATCGGCAGCTTCGAATGCGACGTCCTCCTTCGTTTTTGCCTGACACAACTCGTCTGCCTCCTCCATGATTTTTGAGCGCAGTAGGTCAGGGTCACTGAATAGTCGCTTGGTATACGACCCCTCGGGTGCAGTCTCTAGACGTGATTTCAGCACGCCTTCAAGAGCTGGTAGCCCACCAGCCTCGCTGAAGCAGGATTGGCGATTGAGGTGGCAGAAGCCCGCACCATGTTGAATAACACGGAATTCCAAGCTGTCGGTATCACAGTCGAGGCGGATACGAACGATATCCTGGGTGGCACCAGATGTCTCTCCTTTACGCCAAAGACCGTGTTTGCGGGACTGGTAAACCCCCTTCCCAGTGATGATACTCTCCTTGATTGACTCTCGAGATGAATAGACTAGACCAAGGGTGTGTCCTGTCTCTGAGGACACCACTGTGGGGAACAAACCATCTGGACGATCGGACACAATTGAAGACAGGAAAGCATCAGCGACGTTGAGGTGAGTTGCAGAGGTTGGACCAGTGGTGAGGTGAGAGTTGGCGATAACGAGGGTGGCTTTAATGCTTGCGAGCTCTCGAATGTTGGAGGAAGTGGGTAAGGATGAAGAGTTGGAAAGAACGTAAATTGTCGAGCCCGTGAAAAATTTCGAAATTGATGAAATAAAGTCTAAATCAAGTGACGATGTCCTCAGGAGAACTCCGGACACGGCATTCCGCACTTTATCAGAAACAGCGCTTGCACTGGCGACGTCGAGGAGGAGAAGGAGACGTTCTGAAGGGATAATTCCAATGAGTTCCTTTGCCCAGGTTAATGGAACGATGACTTTTTCGAAGCCTTCATCGAGCCAGGAAACGACTGCCTGTAAATCGACTGGTGCAGAATTATCTAGAAGGAGATAAGAGTTCTGAGGCGGTTCTGATAGTGGAATTGAGTTTTGAGCATCCAATATAACAGGACCGATGCGGTTTAAAGCAAGATAAAGACTGTCGTTATCCTCGACAATCAAAGGAAGAAATACAGACATTATCGTTGTCAACAAGAAAGACTATCAATCACTTTATTGACAACATTTAAATCAATGACTCGGTAAAATTGATTAGATTAGATTGTTATAAATTTAAAGCCGATCCGAAAAAAATAAACCCACCTCTCCCCCGCCACAATATTCATTGTTCAACTCATTTTCAAGGCTTTGTAGTGTAACGGTTATCACTCGAGATTCTGATTAATCCTATTAATCTTCTCGCGACCTCGGTTCGACTCCGAGCAAGGCCTCTCTTTTTTGCGTTTGAGGCCTTACAAACAGACCTTATCCCAAATTTAAAATGTTTAGCAGGCATGTTCATTGACATTGACTCGCTAGCTCCGTCAATGTCAACCCGGCTATCAAATGGAGTGGTTCAAACTTGGAAACAGGCTACATCCAATGACGCAGGGAATTCGCACCAATGACGTCACTTGAACTCAGAGTCCTATTTACGATCAATCTCACCACAACTCTGCCTTGAACCAACCAACCCACCAACAAATACAATGGTCGTCTATATCCCAAACATTCTACTCGCCATTCCACGTAACCCAGTTACAGCTGTAGGTCTGCCTATTGTCCTCGGCTTTGCCAGCGGCTTCCATACCACAGATGCTACACGCAGCAACTGGTACTATGTACGCACACGCTCATCCACCCTTTAGTCTGCGCATCGCTCATGCATCTTGTAGAACCTGAAAACACCCAAGTTTAACCCTCCACGTGAAGTATTTCCTTTTGTCTGGACGGCGTTGTATGCTGCTATGGGCTATGCCTCACATGTCGCTGTCAAAGCACTCGACAATACCGCGATAAGCGCGAACAGGTAAATACCCTTTTAACAAAATGTCTCGAAATTCATCAACTCATTATCATATACCCTAGGCATGAATTATCTGCTGGCCTTGCACTGTACTATGCGCAATTGGGACTGAACTGTCTTTGGAGTCCTTTATTCTTCGGTGCCCAGCGTGTATGTTTTCATTGATCCCTTTAGCGCTCTTGTGCATGATCTCACTGCTATATTTGCAGCCTGGACTCGCTTTAATCGACAGCGTGCTTCTCACTGCCACCACTTGGATTATGACCGTATGATCTCAAACTTCTTTCTTCCAAGTTTGGTCTTTATGCTAATCCACATTACAGAAACGTTGGGACAGGGCTACAAATGCCAAGGCAACCTACTTCTTGCTCCCCTACTGCGCCTGGTTGGCGTATGCCACCTACCTTAACACTGGTGTTTGGTGGTTGAACAGAAGTAACAAAGCATCACCAAGGCCTTAAATAACCCTTTCGAAGACATTTATATCAATCCATTTACACTTTGCAGCATTACAACGGACAAATAGTCACTTAGCATTGAACACTACAATAACATTATCATTGTATGTTGGAGAGGAATGGCTCGCCAGAGCGCAATACGCGACCACGCCAATCTATCAAAAATACACTGGTGAATACACACGTACTACATATTACAACACAATGACCAGAATTCGAATTTACTGCAAATCGAGGCAGCGCCAAATGAGTATGCGACACATGATAGAAATAGAGACACTCACAGAAAAGTACATGAGGTGTTTCATCGATGGGTGAAGTGGTTTGAAAGCCTGCTGGAATTTATCCAACGAGGAGGTCGCCGTCGATCCGTCCATGGACATGATATCACTTCCTGTTAGATCCCAATCGCCAGTGGGGTCGTAATGGTTCTTAGCTCGGGAACAAACAATATCCGCATCTAGGAGTAAAAAACAGACGCGTGAATGCTGTTACCCTTGCTTGTTAGGCTCATACTTACAATAGACTGGAGCTGGTATGGACACGGAACGGGTTGACCTCGCGTAGACGTGGCAGAGGGTGAAAGACAGGTTCTGAAGAGCATCGGCGCTGTAATCATGACGTCAGACATACTTCCTTGCCTTTCCCATGTAAATTACTGCACCTGAATCCATTTTCCTAATCGCAAACATTCAAAACGTCAGTGAGCCGTCGATATGGCTACATTTCCAGCACTTACATCATAAAGAACCTGTTTCAATTCAAATAATCAGCCTCGTACCATACGAGTGAAGAAAATACCAACCGAGTAATGAGCGGGTCGACTTGTTCCCAATAAACCTCCATGACTCTGGAGATAGAAATCAAACTCAGTTGGATGAGCAATGTCTCGATCGACTACTGTTCCAGCAGGACAGTTGCCGCTTTTATCCGCAGATTGGTCGCTTTGAGGGAAGAACCTAGAACCCGGATGAAAGAGGGTCAACTTAGATACTCGAGATATTGCGATACCTACCTAACGTGATGACGTTTGCCGACCACAATGATCGTGATCTTGGGATCAATACGCAGCTCAGCGCACGCCTCTGAGGAAGTCACAAAGGAGTCAAGTATCGTCCAGGGGTCAACAGAAATAATACTTACTCTTGATCAACGGTAGTTCTGATTGTCAGAACACAAAAAGTCAGCCTCAGCGGTAAATGTGCGAAAATCAGTACCATACCCTGATCAAGAACCTGCTTGAACTGTCCCTCAGAAACACCATCTCTGTAAAAAATGATGCGTTTGGGATTTGCAGATGCGCCAGGCTTGCCTTCCACTTGGCTACGATAGCCAATGTACAAGTTCAGGATGTGCTTTAAGTTATGCTGTCAGCCGGCGGTCAAGTGGGAGAAGAGACTGGGGCTACCTTGCTCATGGCCTCCAGATCAGAAATCATTTCCTGGCGAGATGTTTGGACACGGCAATCTACAACAAAAAATAGTTGTTATTCCATGCCAACCACCTAACGCAGGCAGGTGACTGACCAGCGACATATTTGGCGACGTCCGAGTCCACGTTCCCGACGAGGGCGGTGAATGAAGGGCGGCCTTCCGCCCCAGGGGAAGGATGAATAACATCGGCGCCTGGATCGAAGTCAAACAAATTCCAATTTAGACTGGAAGCTAACTTACCCATAACCACCGTAGGATTTGCTTGGTCTGTTAAGAACGAGATGGAACTGGGGTCCGGAATCGTATTGATGCCTCCGAGTTTGACATTCAACCTATGAAATGAGGCGTCAGCTGTTTTTTCATTCTTTTTTGAATATGTGAAGACTGTAGCTTACTTCAAGCTAATGTTGGCATAGTACTGCGGTTTGGCACGCGAGCATTTGCTGCTCTTCATGCATTGTGTCGAGATTCCCATCTAACAGAAAGACGCTTAATCCCATGCGTGGCTTGATATGGAGCAAGAATAAACAAACCTCTACGTCACCAAAGCTAGGAAAAGTCAGAACATGCCCGCGTTTGATGTCTGTGTTGTGCTTACTGTTTCACGGCAGTGTAAATGTCGTTTCCATTTTCCGGAAGAACGACGACGAAGAGTGTGGGTGGGGTGCCATTGTTTGCACGAATGCATTGTAGGCCTAGCTGCTTGAGCTGGTCACGGATGTTCGCCTGTCCATTCAAATAGTCATACTTGGCGGGTTCGCCAATGCGAATGCCTGAGCAACATGTAATGTCAGATCGGACCCACGGCCTCGAGAAAGCACCGTGCACTGACCTGCAGCCTGGCAGGCGCTTCTCAGGCCAGATATCATCTCGGTTACAGCAGCTGGAGGGAAACGTAGCCTGGTTTCGAAAACTGCCACGGCCCAGGATTTAAGAGTGATGGCTCGATAGAACTGCTTGTCAATCCTGGTACGGAATTGAACAACAGATCGAGCTCGTCATATGAAAGGACATACATGTTCCAAGCACCATTTCTGGGTTCCTGAAATTGATTCTGATAAACGCGGGGACAAATACTGGGAGCATCAGAAAATAGGCACGCACAATAGTGGGCTGCTTGCTCTGTGGGCCGTACTTCAATACAGGTGGCCTCAAAACACGGGCCTGGATACGCAAGGGCGTTGTGCTGACGTTCATCCCGAACTGGCGGACATATTCAGATTGTCCATACGCCAAAACCTCCAATCCGCGTCTAATGCTCGCAAGTCTGTCTTGAGGCCGCTTAGTCGCGAATTCTAAGACGTCTTTGGTTTTTTCAGGAGGCACCTGCTTCCGCATGATCTGTCCTGGAGGAATGATACAAAGTTCAAAAGGGATCATTGCTCCAGACCCAACCTGAGTGGTTTATGATTCATCAACAAAGTCACATAGAAATGACAAGTCCTACCTCGACACATCCTAGGTCGGGGAATTTCAAGGGTTGACCCTGTTTGCGGAAATAATCGGCTACAGATAACTGACCTCCTTCACGCAACTCAAATCTGAAATCTCTGGCTGGCGTAGAATTCAGTCTCTTGACAACACGAGGTGTTTTCACAAGCTGTCCCGCGGCTCCTTTCTGGGTTGTAACAATTCTTACGCCGGAAAAGAACCTCTGAAGCTTTAAAAATTCGCGGTCACTGAGATGAGCCTTGCCTAGTTGATTAGGGTGGTTCCTGTTTGTGAACTCCAGCATCAAGTTTAGGAGTGGGCCTGGCTTGTACATAGTGGCAGTGGATATATCGATGTTGATGAACATTTGACTGATGCCGGGACGAACGGATTGGAAGTATCCTCTCCATAGCTGGATACCTCCACCGATATCCTTGGCTTCTCTGTTCGTAAAGAAGGATCTGACATTGAAAGGGTAATTCATGGTTGGCTCCATACGGATAACAACATTGAGGGCCTAATAATTTTGTGAGCATATGATTAGAAGATAAGTGAAGGCGGTATGGTAGTTTACCGTTATGGCAGTTAGAACACTATTATCGTGCGATTGATCACCAGTGATAAATCGACTCAAAACCCTAAATCAAAGGAATAAATAGGTGGATAGTATATGGCGGGGTAAAGGAACAGACTCGGGATTGATTTCCGCAACTTTGGAAAGACGTATCTTGTAGGTCTTTGGACCGCGGGATGAGTCTGCAGCACGAGTTTCCAAAGCAACTTCAAACTGTTTTCAGGCGGGCGTCAATTATTAGAGGCGAACACGGGGTAAAAACAAAAGCAATACTTCTTGGACTCCCTCAGGACCGAAGGGGAGCTCTCTGACTGCAAACATATTTTTTCTACCATCGTACACAGCTCTTGGGGTAAAAATTTCAGGGGCAATCCTTGTTTGGAGAGCAGCAATAATGTCCATGTTTAAACGTGCAGGCAGTGTCTTTTCAGAGGGCATGATAACTGAAACGTAAATTAGCCACATATGCGATCGAGGGACTGCGTGTTGAACGAACCAACTTTGAGAAAAAATGGGGTCAGCGGGCATA